CTCACGGGATATGTAAAGTTCTATGGATTAGGAGAATTCTTAAGTAGCTAAAAATTCATAGTCCACCACCAATGAAGGTATACTGTGATAATAAGTCTGCAATCGCCCACAATCCCGGCCTTCATGATCGAACAAAAGACATAAAGATAGACAAGCACTTCATCAAAGAAAAAATTGACAAAAGAGATATCTGCATGGTGTACGTTCATTTCCACAACCAAAGTAGAAGTTTTTCTAACGAAAGGTCTTCACAAGAGACAGCTCGACAGTTTAGTGTGCAAGTTGACTCTAAAGGATATTTTCATGCCAACTTAAGGGGGAGTGTCGAAAATTCAATTTGATTTACAACATTAATGTTTTTTCCTTTTATAGATCCGTGTGTAGCTGTACAAATCTTGCATAATTAGCTATGTAATATAATAGAAAATAGTTTTAAGCAATTAGGTAATTTCCTTATTTAAGATATATGCAATTAGGTAATTTTCTTTATTTATAAGGTGGTATTCCTATATGTAGATGTATCTTGTAAAGCATCAGAGTATGAAGAATATATTTTTCTTTCTTTGTTTATATTTTCAGGCACGATCAAAGCTTAGTTATGACTCAAACTCAAACTTGAAACTTGGGTCATGTTATGCTCAAATCAAGCTCATTAAAACAAGCAAATGAGCTTGAACACCATAATATTCGATTTGAGTCGATTCGTTTATGGATATTGTCCTTTAGTACTGTAAAGTTCTAGGTTTCTTTTCTTTTTTCTTTTTTTTTTTTGAATCTGCAAGCATTTTAAATTAACCTTGTAAACTCATAAATGGCTCCCAGGGGTCCAAAACATACGTTAGCAGTTTTCATTGGCCTACAGGGCCCAATCTTCACTTTTACAAAAGGACTTGGTCACCTCACTAGCCGAGCTCGCTTGACGAAGTGATCTGCCAAGCTCGCTTGCCGAGATGATCTGTCGAGCTCGCTTGCTAAAGTGATCTATTGAGCTCACTTGTCAAAGTAATCTGTTGAGCTCGCTTACCGAAGTGATCTGTCAAGACCTCCATGATTGCTACTCCAAATTCCCAAACCGTCAACAGGAAGAACCTCACTCAAGGATAAACATGTGTCTGTGTCTATTAAAGAGCCGCCTGACAATCACGTCGCCATCTTCTCACGAGGACATCATGGATAGGACTTTTGTCATAGAGTCTATATTTTATTTTTTTCTTTTTTCTCTCCATATCGGGGGATTTTTGTATCCATCTATCTCTATTTGACTATCTCTCGTTCTCTCCCCCTTTATTCAATCTCGTACTAAAGGCTAAGAATCGAGGTTTTGGGGAGGAGGGAACTTCCATTCCATTCATTATTTCTTTAATATTATGAATCCACAGACAACACAGTACCTTACGTCCTAAAAGAATTAAAAAAGCCTCATTCTTCTAAACTATTTTTGTGATCTCTCTTTCTAGGTTTCTCTCACTCTCTCTCTCTCTCTCATTATTTTTCTAGAAATTGCTGGAAGCAATCCCCAAAAAATGTCTACAGCACTGAGTTTACTACTCAAGAACCATGAGTATTAAGTTTTCCTCAAATCTAGGAAACCTTGACTCCATTAAATTTTTATTGAAAACCCAAAACCACCTTCAAGTTTCACTTCTTTTGTTGAACCCCAATTATCTGTTGGAATCAAGCCATTGCAACCCTTGTTATCTAGCATCCGATGTTCATTGACAGTCCTTGGATCCTTCTCTCAAAATTTGATCAAGTGGTTGCATTAATGTTCATGAGATAATACATGCATGTCTTTGTATAGGCTTTTTTTGTATCTATTTCTGTTATATTATATATAAGTAAACATATATTTGTTAAGCGTTTCTTAAACATGTTTTTTTTTTCTATTTTTTAATTCAAAAATTTGGTTTACGTATACTATCATTGCTTTGTCTTAAGTCCTGGATGCGAAAAGTGAGGATTGTGTCAGGTACTCGACGGCCAATATAAAATTTTGTCGAAAAATTATGATATGAATCCTTTAAATCATTGTGACCTCTCCTAGAAGTGACGGGCTATATGACTTAAATACAGTGAAAAAATGTAAGGGCTGCTACACCGAGACTCGAGCGTAGTGTTAAATAAGCAAGAGTTCCATATTATTTATAGATGCAAGCAAAAAAGTTAGTTCTTGATGCTAATATTAGGATTAAAACTTGGAATATAGGTACTCATGAATAATTTAATAGAATTAGTGGATATTATGGTTCATAGAAAGATAATATCTTATACATTTAAGAAATTAAATGGATTGGAGAAAATACTAAGAAAATTGATAGCTTAGGATTTAAATTTTGGTATTCATGAAGGAGTCGTACTAGAAATGGTATAGGTGTAATTATAAATAAGAGTTTGAAAGATATTATTTTTAAAATTAATTTAATTGGAAATAGAATTAATGCCCTCAAGATTGTATTGATACTAAGATGATTAATATTTTAAGTGTTTATGCTCCTCAAGTATAAATGATATCACTTGAAAAATAATTTTTTAATGGGGGAGATTTAAATGGATATGTTGATAGAGTGGTAGAAGATTTTAGTAATATTCATGGTGACAACTATTTTGGAGTGATTAATAAAGAAGGTCGAGTCATATTAAATTTTTTTAGCTTATAATTATATTATTGCTAATACTTTATTTTAAAAAAAAGAAGAGCATATTATTACTTGTGAAAAAAGGGTATCGTCTAGATTATAAAGATTATAAGGTCATTTCAAGTGAAAATTTAATTACTCAACATCGATTAATTAGCTTTAGTTTTTAAGATGAATGGTTGGAAGATAAAAAGAAAATGAATATTATCATAGAATTACATAGGGGTGTTTAAAAACAAATAAAATTATTTTTATGACTAAACTTTAAAGTTTGGGGTGTTCATGAAAAAATTAATGTTATGTAGGATAAAATAACAAACACTATTGAAAAAGTAGTAAATGATGTATTTGGAAAGAAAAAATTTTTGTAAATAAAAATAGTTGTTGGTTGAATAATAATGTACAGAAAAAGATAAATTATAAGGAATTTGTTATAAAATTTGGTTAACTATAAAAACTTAGATAATTGGAGAAAACATAAGGTGGTCATAGGGCGTCTAAGAGAATAATTTATGATGCTAATAATTTTATTTTTAGTAATGTTTATAATATATTAGATATTAAAGAGGGTGAATAATATATGAATAAAGTAGCCGAACAAATAAATAAGAAAAGTAAAAATTTAATTTAAGTATAATGTTTTAAAGATGAAAATCAAAAAGTTTTTTACTTGTATGTGGATATTCAACGTAGGTGGATGAGATATTTGATACATTTTTTTTATGAAAATTTTGAAAATATGATTAACTTTAGTGATTTTAATATAGTTAATAATAATAATTGTTTTATTTTAATAATCGCATTAGCAGAAAAGAAGTTAATGAGGATTTAATGAAAATGAAAGGTGAAAAATAATTTGAACATGATAGTATTCCAATAGAAGTGTGGAAATATTTAGGAGATATAAAATAAGTAGTAGAGGAGTACGTTGGTCCCTATTTTTAAGAATAAAGTGGATGCAGTAGAGTGTGCAAATTATAGAGGAATTAAGTTGGTGTGTCATACGTTAAAATTATTGGAGAGTATAATTAAGCATAAGATTAACACTTGATACAAAGATTTCAAAATCAATTTGGATTTATACTGGGCAAGTCAAGTATGGAAGCTATACATTTATTGGGATGTTTGATCGAGAAGTACAAAGAGAGTAAGGAGGATTTGTATATGATTGTTGTTGATTTAGCAAAAGCTTATGATAAAGTTCTAAGAAAAGTTCTTTGAAGAGTTCTAGAAAAGAAAGGTTTTGTTATGATTCAAGTCATTAAAGATATGTATATTATAGTTGTGTTGTTACTTGTGTTCGAATAGGACGATTTATCAACTATTTTCCTATTTTAGTTGGATTACATCAGGGATTAGCTTTAAGCCTATATTTTTTTGCTTTAGTTATGGATGCTCTTACTAGACATTTATAGGATGATGTACTTTGGTGTAAATTTTTTTGTTGATGATATCCTTCTTGTGGATAAGACCAAAGAAAGAGTTTAGGAAAAACTTGAATTATGGAGGTCAACTTTAGAGTTTAAAGGTCTTATTTTGAGTATATCTATAATTGAATACATGGAATGTAATTTTAGTAGTAGTAGATCCAGTGACAGAGTTGTAATAATGGATGATCAAATCATTAAAATGAGTGAATGTTTTAGATATCTTCGGTCTGTTTTTCAAAGTGATAGTGATATAGATGGGCATGTTAGTAGATTTCAACTTGGCTTGTTGAGGTGGATGAATGCATTGGGGCTATTGTATGATAGAGAAGTACCACTTTGACTTGAAAGAAAATTTTCTGACATGGAGGTGAGACTTGCAATGGTTTATGGCACAGAATGTTGTCCTATAAAAGAAAAGCATAAAACTAAGTTAAGTGTGACTGAGATGAGAATGCATAGGTGGATGAGAGGTTTTACACTGAGAGACAAAATGTGAAAAAAATATATCAGTGAAGGGGTTGGTGTAACTCCAGCGGCAATAAGATTAGAGAGGTCATCTAATATGGTTTGTTCACATTAAATGCCAGCCATCTGATGACCCTATTAGGAGATTAGTTGTTTTAGATTTGACTTATGTTAAGAAAGGTAGAGGTAGACCTAAAAAGACTTGGACGTGTATAAAATAGTTAAGAAAGGTAGAGGTAGAACTAAAAAGACTTGGACGTGTATAAAATTTGATCTTAATTTATTAGAAATAAATGAAAATAGGGCACAATAAAGAAAAAGGATTCGCGTAGCCGAACTCACTTAGGGAATAAAGGCTTGTTGTTGTTATTGTTCTTGTTGTATAGATTTGGTTTATGTTAAATTTCTGGACTTGGTTTGTCAATAAGTCGTCTTTGAATAGTGTTTACTTTGTTCTCTGTTTAAACAGGTTAATGATACTGTGGGTTCATTAGCTCTAGGTCATTATTATGATGAAGATACGGTTGCAGCGGTAGTTATTGGAACAGGAACCAATGCCTGCTATGTGGAACGTACGGAGGCAATTATTAAATCTCAAGGCCTCCTTACCAACTCTGGTGGCATGGTATGTTTAGTGCTTTTCTTCCAAGTATATGCATTATGGTTCATCAAAATTTGTTGGAAGATTTACATAAAAAACACTCAATTCTTATGTATTTACATATGTAACACCTAAACTTCAATTTTTACATACATACCACCTTACCTAGGCATGAACAGGTGTATTTCACTTTTAAAATCTAAAATGATGGTATTATTTATGTGATATGAAAGATTTATATGGTATAAATCTAAAAAAATAGACTTTATTTGTTAGATATGTAAATAGATAGGAATTGAGTGGTATATATGCACATTATACAAATTTATATTTTTGGCTGTTCGTGTCCTGAATTGGGAGTTTTCATTAATGCTATACTTTCCCTTTGTCATGATTAGGTTGTTAACATGGAATGGGGAAGTTTTTGGTCATCTCATCTGCCGAGAACTCCTTATGATATTGCTCTTGACGATGAGAGCCCTAATCAAAATGACCAGGCAAGCATTTTATGAGCTGCTTGTAATTTAATTGAAGAGATACATTACGGATGCATTTCTTCTTTTTTATAGGGCTTCGAGAAAATGATTTCAGGAATGTATTTGGGAGACATTGTAAGAAGGGTGCTCCATAGGATGTCGCAGGAGTCAGATATTTTTGGAGATGCTGCTCGCTATTTGGCTGTGCCTTTCATTCTAAGGTACATAAATGCAATCCTGCATTTTTTTTTTCTCTTTTCCTCGTTCCCTTCTTTTTGAGTTCAGAGTTGCTTTATAAAATTCAGTTCCTAGTTGAATTTAAAGGCTATATGTGCTACCTTTTAAGTAGACAGTAGTTGGATGGAATTTCTTATTTTCTTGTTCTCTCAATCTCCTGCATTTGATTGGAAAAGAATGCTTGGGCGTGTAAAATTACACTTTGTTTACCGTTCTTATTCTGGCTAATTTTATGCTCTATTTTAAAAATTAAAAAAAAATAATAACTTGATCTAAGGAGGATTATAATATGTACATACTTGTGGAGCATGTATGAGTAGGAATCTTGTTGAAGGCTGGAAGGTTGCAGTCTTACTCATTTAGGTTTACATTTTTTTGTGTACTTTATTTTGAAAATAAAATGTTTTTAGTAGTTAGTTGTAGCAATTATTATTTTTGAACCAATGGTTTTTTTTTCTTACCTGTTTTTTGGTTCATTATTCTCAATATTTTAATTGTGGAAGATTGACCTAGTGGCTCGTGAACTTTATGGTTGCCATCCTGCTCACTATTATTTCTCATTTCCTTCTTTCTCCTTTCTTTTATTCTATTGCTGTTTTCTTCTTCCAATTTATTAGAACTAAATGAAAGTATGACACTAAGGGTCTGTTTGGCACAGCTGGAGATTTCCAGCTTTTCAGCTACAGTTGCGCTGCCCTAGGAAGTTTTTGTGGGGAAGCTGCTGCGGGAAAGCTGGTTGATTGTTTGTTGCAACTGTTTCTGAAAAAATAATCATTTTGTTCTTGTTTAGTTAAACTGTTTGAAACAGAACAATAGCAATCTTATATATGATATATCAGAAGCCGAAATTTACTTTACAAGTTAAACATGCAAAAAATAAATTTCTACAATTTTTAGCCAATCCCAGATAAGTTTGATACTTTTAAGGAAAAAGTTCAAATAAAAACAGTCAAGAATTACAAATATTCATCTCACGTCACAGTTAGTATAAAAAAAGTAAAAAAATAGTCCAGAATTACAGATATTATTCAACTTTATCTTGTTGCAGTATACCCACATCATCACATCGTGTTAATAAATAAATTTAATATGGAGATGAAACATAAAAAAAGTTTTTAAAATTACCACATGCTTTGAACAAAAAAACCTTAAATATCATCAAACAAATCAAAGGTCAACTAAAAAATTAAAGCTACTCCAAATATTGACAGTATATCACTTAAGATCCTTGAATTTCATCTAATCCAAACCAACCTTCAAAAGAAAGCTAATTAAAAGAATATATCACAGGCATTGTTCCAATTGTAGAAGGACCAAACAACAATATAAAAGCATCAATTTTGGCTAATTGGCATGATGCAGATCAAATCTCGCTTAAATGCAGCCCAAATCGTGTTTACCACAAAGCTCCTAAGGCTTCTATTGTAGTCCTGAAGATACAAAGAAGATGAAGAAAATTTTCATTAAACGTCAAATGGCAGAGGTAGTGATGCTCCAAGTACCTGAACATTGCCATAAGGATCTCTTTCCAAGGATCTCTTTCCAAAAGAAGCTTTCCTGGATTGCTTGGGGAAGGAATTCAAACAGCGTAAGAGGCTGTTGTGTGAGCTTCTTATTCCACTGCCCATCTTGGTCAACAACACCATGAGCCAATATTTCATTTAGCTCTGAAATAAGAGTCTGATCCTGAATCACAGATTTCCAACAAGTAAAATATACATATCCACTGCCGCTTGGACTTCTTCTCCTTGACCACGCTTGAAGGAGCAGTTTTCTTCTCGGCCACCTCATTGCCAGTGTCTTCCTCAATCTTTAGCCGTAAGAGCCGTTCTCGACGGAGGCGGCCGGAGATATTCAACCTTCATCGGTGATCGCCTTAGCAACTAGTTCCTCCGCTAATTTGGGTGGAGGTTGATAAGGGTTTTCAAGTGGATAATCGCCATTTTTTGGATGGATCGGCAAAGGGAATTAGGTCCATGACGAAGGATGGAACGGATGAAGGGGCACGGGGGTAAAAATAGCGTCGAGGAAGTTGCGCCGCGGCATATACCCGGCTTTCGGCTTTTGCACCAAATCACGCGAAGTTGCTGCAGCAACGCCGCCCCAAACCGAAAAAAAAAACGTGGTGCCGTACCCCCCCCCCAAACGTAGCCTAAATAGGACGCAATGGAGAAAAAGGATTCTTGTAGCCGACCCCACGTAGTGGGATTAAGGCTTTGTTGTTGTTGGTGGTGGTGTTTTCTTCCTCCAAAACGATTTTGATCTAATAATAAATGCTCTTAAATCTAAAAACATATTGAAATTCTTACTCTAGTGTTTTTACTTTATTTGATCAGCTAGATAAGGCTGTTTTTATTTAATAATACTCTTATATGGTTAAATTAGAACATGATTTTCCCAATTTCATGGTTTTAATGAATGTTGAATTTTATGTATTCTAATTAGTAGCTTAGTTTATGGTATGTTTTAAGTATTTCTATAGCAAGATTACACCTGATTTCACAAGTCTTAACCTAGATGTCACATTACATGATAATACTAGACATTCCAAGGCCATCTCTTGTGTTTATATCATTCTGTCGTCCAAAGACTGTAAAAGCACCCACATGAAATTTCATTTAGTTTTTTCGTTATTCCTTTAGTTCACTCTACATCAAGAAGCCTTTAGTTTTTTTACCCCCCTAAATAATGTTTGTGATGCTATAGGTCTTATAGCCCAAGTTAAAATTTAGAAGGCATGACATAACTAAAATAATTTATGCCCTCATCAATTCTCTGTCACTATTTCTCTTCTCAAAGGAGTGATATCAATACAACCCAATGTAAATAACACGCCCTATTCGTTTTGGATCCTTGAATGATAAATGATACTGACAAACTAAAGGTCAATGTGATTTTGAAGGAACATAAATGAATTTATCCAGAAGTAGTGATGTAAAGTATCGATGGTTGTGGTTCTCTTGGAAACTTAGAAAGTCCTCATGGATAAGCATCAATGCAAAATAGTTGAAGCTAAAATCATTCGACCTGGTAATGGATTTTCAATATAAAAGGTATGAGTAATACTCTGTCAATGTGTAAAATAAGTACATAAATGTGAGTTCTTGGTTTTCTAATATTACATTTAAGGCTTAGAGACTCTAGTAGAGAAGTTCAAGTAGGTGGAGTGCAAGTAGCATATATGATAGCTTTTAAAATATGGATGCAATGTCCTTCATTGTCACCCATGCAGAATAATGAGCAATCATGATAAAATCATACTTTATTTTCTATGTTAATTTCTTTACCTTTATCAATTTATAACTCATGTTAATGATAATTGCGTAGCACAACAAAATTTGATGTATTTTTAAGTGATGGCATGAGACCCAGAAGCCAGAGTTGGATTGATTTTGAAATGATTCCATATATTCGCACTCATGTTTGAGCTCAGGCTCAAAATCAAACATATTGTAATGCACAGATAAATTATATGAGAATATATTTTTCTTTATAGGATAGTTTAGGTCTAGTTCAAGGTTTGAAGGAAAGTTGATAATTTCATATATCACAATTTCCTTAATAGGATCTGGTTTGATTTCATTTGAGATATGTTTTGGTGCATGTTTGATAATTTTGGTGGGATGACTGCCTGGCGGTTAGATTTATGTTCTGGATTCCCAGTCCATAGGATTAGTTTATGGATTTCAAGACGTAGTTATTATTATTCATCATTCTCATAGGAACATCTATAAAACTTTTGTTGATAGTTCTTATATTTTATTTGGATAACAATTCTCTAGAAGTCACTATAATTAGTTTCTTCCAATGGAGGAATTAACTAGTATATCATAGAATTATTTTGTATAAATAAAGGTGTAAGATTCTTAGTGAAATACACAAGAATTCACCTCTATTTTTTAAAATATATAATCCTTCAAAGTATGAACTGAAATAATGGGTTGTATATGCATCAAAACTTCATCTGCAAATTCCAACTATACTGAGTATTGATAGTGGCATGTGGCTTTGGCACTCACATTAGACATCCAAACTTTATTTACCTTAAAAAATTATCTATTCGCCAACAAGAAATTTAATTTAATGTGACTTTTATCATCTAGCTAAGCAAACATAATTCCCATCCCAATTGACACTAGAAATGTCCTTAACCTCTTTTGTCTATGGTGATTTGTGGGACCATCTAACTTCAAAAAAATCTCTAAAACAATGTGGTTTGTTTCCTTCACCAACAATCCCAAATACTTCACTTGGACTTCTTTTTTTTTTTTTTTTTTTTTTTTTTTGTCAAAGAATAATCCAAAGTGATACAAATTTTTAAACATTTAAACTCCTTGGTTCACATAAATTTTTAATCCAAATCTTATGTTATAAAAATTGATAATGTCAAAACTTTCTTTGAATTGATCTTAGAAAAGTTTATATCCTACATTAAGGGATTATTTACCTAATCTTAGACTAACATTATCATGTTCCCAACTATTTTGAGAAGTTGTGTTGATAGATATGAATTACATTTCTCTGACTTTATTGTAACAAGGGACAAACTATGCAAAAGGGCTAAATGACTCGAATCGGAACAAATACTATGTTGTTTAAGCTCATATATTTATATCTTTTATTGGGCTTGTGCCAGGCTTGAATATAACAAGACTTTCAAAAAAAAGTTTTGATTTTCTTGCTAAGTTTGAGCCATAATTGAGCTTTAATAGTTCCTAACTAATTTTATGTAGGACAAAAATAATTAAATAAAGTTTTATTACTAATAATGAATGCATTAATAAGTTTTTAATTAAAATTAACAAATAATTTACTGGGCAGTATCTATCTTATTTTATGAATAATAAAATTAGACTTTTATCCTTTCATCTAGCTACTTCCTTAGTATGTTCATTATAAATTCATATAAAATAAAATTAAAATTTTTAGCTGTCCATCTAATATTTGTTAATCTTTTTATTATTAAATTTTAATAAAGCTTATAATTACATTTTTTAATCTCTCAATTTAGCAATATTTTATTCTCATCTTATTTGTATTTCTAGTAATATGAATAATTTTTGAAGTGTATACAATTAAAGAATAATCTATGTTAGGATGAATAAATTAACAAAAAGCAATCAAGTCATTATTAAATGAGTGTGTTATCAAACTTTTAGTGAGCTTTTGGCTAAACCATAGATGAGTATGCCTATGATATCTCAAGCTTTAAAATTTGTTTAATAAGCCTGATATGATGAGTATTAAGTTGTTCATTCAGCATTCGAGTTCACTTGCTATGCAGTGAAATATCTCAAAAAGAAACTTTCATGGTGTATCAAATATTGCTAATCAAAGTAAATCATAGAAGATATCCTTTTTGAGATCACATTGTTCTAAAAATAAAAAAGTGACTAAATAATCTTTAATGATCCCAGTACCCTTTAAATTAACCAACGCAATATCTTGAATCAAATAAGACAGAAATCCCTGCTAATCTAAATGACGCCCTTCGATTATTGAAGTCTACCTAAAGCCAAGCCTATAAAGCATTCTTGCCCATGGTTTAATTCATGTGGATGTGCAATATTGCTAGCACAAAAAGGCCACCGTTCAACTAGTGCCCTCCCGTTTAAGCTATTTTTCCCATAAAAAAGAAATTCTTATTGATGGGAAAAACCTACTTGATAATGCCACTTGATTTTACAAACCAGTTTGTCCCCTCTTTTACATGCACCTCTTCACTACCACCAATGTGTTCCTTTGTTGCTTCTCATCGACTGTTACCATCTCTAACTATTAAAGTTTATCATGTTTACCATCTATTATTGTTGAAGTAAAGTACGATAGATGAATTTCTTTGTTTTAATTTTGATTTTTTTTAGGTACCAATCCTTCATGAATATTGATATTTTAGCCACAAAACCAATTTGTCTAAATCATAAGGCAATTAACATTCTATTGTCTCATTAAACTAATAATTGCATTGCCAAATTAGTCTTTTTGGGAAAGAG